AATAATGATATTGGCTTTAATAATAGTAATGATGAAAATACTTACTCTCTATTTATTATTTAAAATAAATTGAAATCGAACAGTTAATATGTTTTCAAAAACAATGATAACAGTGATAATAGTAATGATGAAAATACTTACTCCCTATTCATTATTTAAAATAAAGTAAAAATTAACAGTTAATATGTTTTCAAAAATAATGATATTGGCTTTAATAATAGTAATGATGAAAATACTTACTCTCTATTTATTATTTAAAATAAATTGAAATCAAACAGTTAATATGTTTTCAAAAACAATGATAATAGTGATAATAGTAATGATGAAAATACTTACTCCCTATTTATTATTTAAAATAAAGTAAAATTAACAATTAATATGTTTTCAAAAATAATGATATTTGTTTTAATAATAGTAATGATGAAAATACTTACTCTCTATTCATTATTTAAAATAAATTGAAAATCAATCAACAGTTAATATGTTTTCAAAAACAATGATAACAGTGATAATAGTAATGATGAAAATACTTACTCCCTATTCATCATTTAAAATAAAGTAAAATTAACAGTTAATATGTTTTCAAAAATAATGATAATAGTGATAATAGTAGTGACGAAAATACTTACTCTCTATTCATTATTTAAAATAAAAATAAAAATTAATAGTTAGTATGTTTTTAAAAACAATGATATCAACTTAATAACAGTAATGACAAAAATACTTACTCCCTATCATTATTTAAAATAAAATGAGAATCAATCAACAGTTAATATGTTTTCAAAAATAATGATAATAGTGATAATAGTAATGATGAAAATACTTACTCCCTATTCATTATTTAAAATAAAGTAAAAATTAACAATATGTTTTCAAAAATAATGATATTGGCTTTAATAATATATAGTAATGACAAAAATACTTACAGGCTATTCATTATTTAAAATAAACCAAAAATAAATGGTTAATATGTTTTCAAAAACAATGATAATATATAGTAATGATGAAAATACTTACACTCTATTTATTATTTAAAATAAAGTAAAAATTAACAGTTAATATGTTTTCAAAAACAATGATATTGGCTTTAATAATAGTAATGATGAAAATATTTACCCTCTATTTATTATTTAAAATAAAATGAAAATCAGTCAACAGTTAATATGTTTTCAAAAACAATGATAATAGTAATGATGAAAATACTTACTCCCCTTAATCCCTATTCATTATTTAAAATAAAGTAAAAATTAACAGTTAATATGTTTTCAAAAATAATGATATTTGCTTTAATAATAGTAACAATGAAAATACTTACTCTCTATTTATTATTTAAAATAAAATGAGAATCAATCAACAGTTAATATGTTTTCAAAAACTATGATAATAGTAATGATGAAAATACTTACTTCCTATTCATTATTTAAAATAAAGTAAAAATTAACAGTTAATATGTTTTCAAAAATAATGATAATAATAATAAGGCCGTTCAAATTATTTATTTATTTAACATCCACCAGAAGCATAGTGGAAGTTTTTTGTTACACTAAATGTTATATAGAACCCATTGCTCTTGAAACTTCACCAGTATATATAGTCATTACTTCTCTAAATTGAAGATCAAGTTCAGTTCCAATTCAAATCTAGTTTATCACTTGCTTTTTATTGCCAGAATGTTTGCCGTGTATTGTAAGTTACGTTGTACAATATAAAAAATTAATATAACATTTTAAAGAATAATTATAAAGCACGTGATTTAACTGTAAAACAAAGTATTCGAAGAACTTTTTTCATAAAACATGTGACTTTTGTGTGTAACAAACATTTATCCCCTCTTAATTTTCAAAAATGTTAAACAAATAATTAAATTTGAACGGCCTAATAATGACAAAAATACTTACTTCCTATCATTATTTAAAATAAAACAAGAATCAATCAACAATTAATATGTTTTCAAAACAATGATAATAATAATGACGAAAATACTTACAGCCTTATTCAATATTTAAAATAAAATAAAATTTAACAGTTAATATATGTTTTCAAAAATAATGATAATAATTATGACGAAAATACTTACAGGCTATTCATTATTTAAAATAAAACAAAATTAACAGTTAGTATGTTTCAAAAATAATGATATTGAGTGTAATAATAGTAACTTACCAATCTATTTATTATTTAAAATAAATGAAAACCAATAATTAATATGTTTTCAAAAACAATGATATTGACTGTAATAAATAATAATACTTACGGAACTATTTATTATTTAAAATCAAATGAAACCCAATAGTTAGTATTTTTTAAAAAACAATGATATTTGACTATAATGATGTTTATTGAAATAGTTAAATGAAATACCTCGCTCCTCCAAATTATTGTTATCATCCGTTGGACTTGCTAAAGCAACAACAGCAGCAAAGATAGCCAAAAAGAGAAGAGAAATATTGGAAATACTGAATTTCATTTTGATTTGTTCAGTTAATTCTTAGCAAATGTTGGTTTTTTTTTTCAAATTGTATGCAGTCAAGGAATTTATAAAAATTTATAGTAAACCAGTTATTTTAGAATTTTGGTTATTCTTCGCAATCACAGATAAATGGATCTTTTAAATATTCGATTTAATGTTAATTAAACAAGAAATTGATTGTTGATTGTGAATGGGCTGTGTCTTATGTCATACATAAAGCGAATAGTTTAACGACAACAAACAATAAACAACAAAGAAAAAAGAAAAAACGCAACCGGTTATTTACTTTAAGGTGTTGATCGAAGATAAATAATAAAGCAAACATTCGGAATTAGTGATAAACGGAAATGATCGATATCATTATATCCCTTAAACGGTCTTTAATGGTAACACGGAATAATGTTTTGTTCTTGCATTCTTATTGGCAACGATATTCAAAGTAAAAATAGTCGATTGACCAACTTTTAAGGAAGATTTTACGAAAACCACAAGGACAACAACCGAATTTTTATTCATAGATCAATCAGCTGAATCTCAAAGATATTTTCGTATTAGGAAGTGATACCTTCAGAAAAAGTTTTTTATAAAAAGAAAAAAAATTTCGGCAATCAATTAGCCGATTAACCGTTTAAGGGATAAGAAAATTATAATTAAAGTTAACGTTTTGTGATATTGTCATACTACAGTTAAAAATCTTGTTCATTTTTTATATTATAAAAATGGTGATTTATATTACTATTATTACTTACTATATTAATATTCATTTGCTGATTTTTTTCGGAGGTTTTTTTCTTGCAGAAATTTTTATTATTGCATCATTAAGAAAAGAGAACACTACTATCGAATTACTATGATTTGATAATGATAATAATAATCATCAATTATTCACTATTTTGTCAACCACTAAGATCATACAAAGAATTAATAACAGAAACACTCACATTAACTCCTACTACTAATCGAATTATAAACCATAATGAGTTACCACTTGTAAAAGATGAGTTGTCAATAATAACACTAAAAATAAATCTCATGAGTCATGACGTTGATTGGGCTGCTGTTTTTCATAAGGGTATTTTACATATGACTATTAATTATTTATCTCAAAAAGTTCTTTAAAATAGGAAAATTCCACGTGACTTGCGTGTTATTTTTGCAGTAATTTATTCCAAGTGTTTTGATATCGATGCCACATACGTTTATATAAAAGAGATCGACATTTCGGAACCTGCTCTATTCTGAAGCAATGGGAATGAAAGTGTATTTTTATGATATTGTTGTGCGTGAAAATGAAAATGCAATTCGCATATTGATACGTGAAAATTAAACTCCTCCGTAGTTTAATTATAGGTACAACATAACTGACGATGATAACACTAATAATCATTTAATATGCAGACGATTACATAATTATATATTATTAATATAAATATATATTAAAATTTTTCTTATTCCTACATAAATAATATAAATAATAAACGAACAATTCGATCAAGTATTTAGTAACAAGTAAAGACTATTGCGTTTTTTTTACAAAACTTACAAATCTTGCCACAACAGATTTTTAAATAAATTTTCCTATCGTTCGCTGTGACAAGGTTTGACTGTAGCTTTTAATAACAAATCTATTTATTGACAGATTTACCCACTTATGACCTGTTGCTTAAGGGTCAGGGACCTAGAATTATTCTCCCATACACAAGGAAACTACCTCTCTTAGTATTAGTACTTTGAGCAAAATTTAATTTTATAATTAGATTTTTTAACAAATTCAAATATCTTTCCACGTTTTGACTCTTCAACATTACATAGATAATTAACTATATATTTGGTATTTGTAACTTCATCAATATAGATATGTTACAAAATGGAAATCAGGATCGGCTTTGAGCTGGTTCCATAAATTTTATTTTTGGTACTGATTTACAAAAACTTCTCACACATACAAAACCCGCTATTGATTTTTGATGTTCGCTGACATTAGGGGAAACAACCTCTGAGATTGGATAAACAATTCATTTTTGGTTGTTGATAATAATATTGATGTTCGTTGGTGTTGGAGAAAGGATTTACGATGATGATGTTGATGCAAATTATTAGTCGTATTTTCTTTCTCCATATTAATATATAGTGTAGTAAAATTGTGGCAAGTGTTAGCATAAAGACTACTTCTTTTTACAAATAATGTTCTATATTCTATGAAAAATGTACATTAACAAATTGTAAATTGAATGAAGAAATACAATGAATGAATGAATATGTGAGAAATGGATATATGTAGTGTGTGAAAATGAATTTAGATTCATGTATACATTAATAGATAAGAATGGTTTTATGTGTACGAATGGACTACCAAGTAATTAATTAAATCCAAAAATTCTAAAAATCAACCAACTCTTTAACATATCTATTAACACCAACTAAACTTTTGACGACACCAACCAACTTCATCAACTCATTAATTAGATGACTAGACTTTATCAAATAAGCACAATAACATGCATAAGCCGGCGTTTCAAAGTTATGTTTTGATAATCCGGACGCAGTTCTACTGATCTTAGAACTTATTTTTCCAGCCAATCCAAATTTCGCATCACCCGATGCCACAATATTATAAGGTGGTAGACTAACACGATTTTCTAAAGCTGTCCCCAAGATATGAAATGCGGTCAAGATGTGTGTGATGTAGTGACATTTTGCTGGTGATAAAACATCAGCCAAGTCTGTTTTCCACTCTGTTCCATTCAAACTCAACAATTCGTATTCAATTCCACAAACTAAATTCAACATGTTTTCAACTATATCGATCATCCTTTTATATTTTTCCTCGGGATAATTTCCACGTAATGGTGGTTCGTAAACTGTTCTTGACAATAATAATCGTGTAATGCCGATTGATCGATTGATTCGTGAAACCAACTTACGAAATGGTTTGGTTGTGTTTAGTGAATTGGATTTGGTTTCTTTTAACAGCGATGAGACAGTCATTGAATAAAGTACTCCTATGTCGGCTATTGTGTGTGCTAATCGATGTCTCACTTCTACTCTTCCTGCGTGTGGCCATGGGAACATTGTCATAATAAATGCAGCTGTTATACCAACAATTACTGCAGATGTACGCTAATAATATAAAAAATTAATGAATTTATAATTTATTTATAGATAAAATAAAAATAAACAAATAAATTATAAAATTATAAAAATACCTTTTTAGCAACAACTAAAACATCATCATGCAATCCAACACCCATACTAGCCTGATAAGCATTAGCCAACACTAATGCAAAGTTTACCAACATTATCACACCACCAACGGTCCAAACTTTAGCATTTAAATATACAAACCAAAGTAATAAAGAGAATAAAAATAATACAGTGGCCAATCCATAAGTGTTTCCGCCTGTAATCATCCAAGCTATTATTGCCATGCTAGCACCGACAACTGATCCTAATAATCTTCCAACTAATTGCAATACTGCACCACCTGTTGTTGGTGAAAATGATAACACTGCACTTATTATTGCCCACTACAAAATTATTATACCAATCACATATAAATAATCGATCGCATTGCATTAATAATAAAATGATAATAATAATTAATTATTGTTTACCTGACCACGATAATTATCAAACCATTCATACGAATAAGGTAAAAAAGCGGGTATGCCTAAAGCTGTCACCACAATTGTATTTTTAAAAGCATATCTAGCATATTTACTATCAAACCAATTTCTTATTTGCCATAAATTATACCATAATTTTTGTATTTTTGTGGTTGGAAGAGTAACATCCGGATCATAAAATTCCATCCCCAATTCTTCTTCTTGTTCACGTCTACTTTGTGTTTCAAAGACTCTCCAACCATCCTCATTAATCTCACCAACATTATGCATTCGTTTTAGTAAAGGAATTGGTGGCATCCAAAGTTTTTTGAAATGTCGAGAAGTTTCCAATACTTTTATAAGGCCAACCAGAGAACCTAAACTTTCAGCAAAGACCATTAAATCATTTTCAAAGAACATCAATAGTAATAACACACGTTGTGGTGACGGACTTATTGTTGGTGTTTCGTTAAATAAACGATCCAGATATATACGACGAGCCTGCTGATAATTTCTAATGGCCGACTGTAGATACTCCAGTGGATTATTCAATGGACTAGTTTTATGGGAAATGGCAGAATTGTTGCCGAATGGCAACCATCTATAATACCATGGTGAACTACAATTATGTCGCAGATGATCAACACGAGATACGCAATCTGCTAGACACAATTGACATGTTTCAGATAGCTCACTACAAATTTGTTTGAAAATATCTAATAATTTATCTAAATCTTCTTCACTTCCCGTGGTGTTTGCTGAGCTAGTTGGTGCTACAGATGGATAATATGAATAACAACTACTAGAATAACTGTTCAGACGATTACGAAATCCATAACGATTCCTATAATTATCGCTGCTGTTATTGTTGTTGTTGCTATCATTATTGATATCATTATTGACATCATTATTGACATCATTATTGACATCATTATTACTTTGCTGTTGTTGTCGTTGTCGATGTTGATGTTGTATGCCAGCAGTTAGTTCATGTTCAGCATTTGTATCTAAAAGTATCTGGACTGTACCCTCTTGACCATCTTTCATCAATTCCTCCTCAATCACTCCACTTAACGCCAAGCCACCTAAAGTCATGTGCATAGATTTCACCAACCTATTAATCTCAATTAAATCCTGTGGACCAATTTTTGAAAAACTTATTTCATGTTGAGCTTCACGTTTAGCTGTGTCCAAATTCAATAAATTATCTTGTGCTTGACGATGAAACATAGCAATTGTGTTACGATTGTATGGGTCGCATAAAAAAAAATGAGTTTCATGTTCCAATAGATGTATGAAGCTTTGTAACGTGGCATGTAAATATGGTATATAATTCGTTGTAGCATTTTCTGGCCATAATGATATATTGACAATCAATGAACATGCAGGACCAATAAGCATTGGTATCACCAGAGTTTTCTGATTTCCCATAAAAAAAAAGATTAGTAATGAATTCCTTTATTAAAATATAACAAAGGGGAAAGGAAAATCAGACTAACCAATATACTATTGGTATCTTGGGGTCTTATGTATGATTGAGTTAAAGAAAATGTCATTATGATACAAGCATTGATGGAGCCATATCTCATAGGGGGCCATTTAATCTTATCATATGAAAGGATGAAGGTACCAATAGCCAAGAACAACAAACTAATTATTGCCGAACCTATATTAAATATTTCATCGCCACGAATTGCATCTGATATTTTGATTCCAACGTAAGACCATAAAGTAGCTATGCATGCACCTATTATTCCCCAGCCTGCACTCTTTTTTTCATAATAACAAGATCAAGAGAAAAAGATCGACAGAAAATGTCATTATCACGATACTAATACTCGGAACGTTAAATTACGAAATAAATTTTTATTTACCTCAACCAAAGAACCAAAAGTTCCTGATGGTTGAAAATAACAAACCATCACAATCGCCAAAAAAGTTCCCGTCCCAATTGTTTTCATGACAGGCACGGTAAGAACTATAAGAAAAGCAAGCCAATAAGCAACAGCAGCTTTTAAAACTTTTTTTGTCATTGGCCAAGTCAGTTTTAAAGCAATATCATGATAAATCGGTATTAACAAATGATCTAAAAAAATTGACCATTTTAAATATTCGATACAATTTTTAGGTTTTGGTATTGATGGTTTTTTTATATTGACGTAATTGTTAGTATTTGGATCTATGCAACCTAATTTTTCAAGTTCTTTAAGAGCCTCTATATTATTACTATTATTATTATTATTATTATTATTTCTATTTCCACGATTGTAATTTAGATTATTTTTGATTTTAAATAATTGGTCAGGTGTTAAAGTTAACTCGTTATCAAAAAAAGCTTCATCGTTATTATTATGGCTATTATTGTTGTTTAGATGATTGAATGCCGAAGCACTTGATTCGCCTTCTTCTTCCTCCAGTGTAGATAAAGTGTGTATAGTTAAAGAAGAACAAGATTTAGATAATTTTGGACATTTATTACTGTTACTATTACTATTACTATTACTATTACTATTACTATTACTATTAATATTACTATCACTATCACTATTACTATTGTTATTATTATTATTATCCGTCATTATTTTTGTTTTTTTTTTTAACTTGAACAAAAAAATATTTTAGTTTTATTTTTAAAGAAAAAGAAATACGTCATATCATCATTTATTTATTGTAAAAAAAAAAAAAAAATAAATAAAAATTAGATAAGGAAAATTTGTTATCAAACTAACGTTATTTATTTTAAAAAAAACCAAATCGAGTCAATCACGCATAAATCACGCATTATAACAATTTTATTATTATTACTTTATTATACTTTATTATTTTATTTTCTATCTATAAAAGGTGAATTTCGACTAAGACAAATTTGATAATTACTATTAGAATACATCAATTTTTCTATTTTATGCACTATAACATTCATTATATTATTTATTATATTATTATTATTATAGTAAATATTATTAATTTTAATTATAGTAAAGTTTCGCCTGTTCAAAATAAAAAAAAATTTTTTTGATTAATTAATTAATTAAAAATAATAAATAAATCATTAACGGAATGCAGAAAAAATTTACCTAAACTACATCTGATCAACGAACATCCTACAGTTACAGTTTCGAATATACTAGCTTCATCTGCAAGCGTTGGATTTACCTCCTAATCATTGTAACAATTATTTAATATTATTACAACAATAAGAATAATTATGATTGTAATGCAATTAATTAATTATATCATATATAGGCAATAAAAATAAAGTAATAAATTTGGAAAAAAAATGCTTTACCATTAAATCTACGGCAACTAAAAGTCCTGTTTCATGAATTGCTTCGCATATGTAATGACCTTCTCTAAAGGTCAAACCGCCACGAACAGGTGTACCTTTAGAATAATCAAAAGGAAATTTTAATTTAAATGAATATAATTAAATACATTGACATAAATATGATATCAGATTATTTGTTACCTGTACTAGGCGCAACAGTTGGATCTAGTGCATCGACGTCAAAACTAAGATGAATTGGACGATTTCTATCTGGATTTACTGTGTCCAATGCCATTTCCATTACTTTACCAATTCCATATTTATCGATTTCGTGCATCGAAAAGGCTTTGATACCGTGTTGCTTTAAAATCTTTTTTTCTGGTTGATCAATATCTCGAAGTCCAATATAAACTAATCTGTCTGGCGTAAGTCTTGGTTTAATCCACTCAAAACCCTCCATTTTCCCTGCTATCCCTAATAGAAAAGATACTGGGCACCCATGTAAATTCCCTGAATCGGTAGATTCGGGTGTATTTATATCCTAATAAGTTAAATAATAAAAAAACAAATAAACAAACAACAAATAAATAAACAAATAACAAATAAAAAAATAATCATAAAAATCAAAAAGATAAAAAATTATTATATAATTACAGCGTGTGCATCAATCCAAATCAGACATGCATCATGATGAACCGCTAAAGTACCGGATACAGTGCCAAGTGCGAGACTATGATCACCACCTAATGTTAATACCATTTGACCTTTTCTATGATGCCTTTCAACAGACCTAGAGACTGCTTCTGTAACTCGTGAAACATAACGAGGTCGTTTCAATTTCCCTATATTTGGATCATCTTTCGGTTTAAGATCAGTGAGTTTAAGATGACCATCAAATTCCACGTCCCAATCCATCTCTTGAAGTTGTTCTATCAATCCATATTCAATGATTTTCAATGGACCTTCGTCAACACCATCTTTAGGCTTAATTAATCAATCAATAATTGAATGAGCGAGCGTGTACGAATTAAAAAAAAAAAAGACAAAAAGATATAACTAAACGTGTATGATGCTAACCTGGCCACCGCTGAATGGACAACCAATTACTCCTACACTCTTACCTCTAAGAAATTTGTATGATACTTCTTCCATTTTTTTTTATTTTAACAAAATTCCGATTAAATTTTAATAATTCCGATTAAATTTTAATTATTTCAAGAATAAATTTTAATAATTAGTAATTTAAATAATTTTGAAAAAAAAATATGAAAAAATTATTTTATTATATATATTGATAATTTGGAGGTACAACATCATGTGGCGTAACACAACCTTCATCAAAAAAAATCGTGGGAGATTTAATATTGACAAAACAAGACAAGGACGAAAAATTTGAATTGTAGAATTATAAATAAAATGTATAAACATTATTATCATCGGGTTTTTAGTTGTGTAAATTAATTTTTAATTTATATTATCTTTAAAACAATTTGAAATTGAACTTAATTTTTTGGGGCACAGGATAATAGATTTTATTGATAGTGCAAGAAATATATTTTCAAAAAAATTTTTTTTCTGCAATGAATAATGATTGGATAATTTTTATGTAATACTTGCTTTTTGTTCTGATTTGCCCGATAATAAAGTTTTTAATTATTAAAAAAATAACAATAACTAATAGAAAAGAGGCACTTCTCCCACATTTAGAATCGATCCCGTCCGCAATTAATTAAAATTATGAAGTTTAATTAATAATCGATTGTTTGATTGATAAAATGAAAGATTTACGTGAAAAAAAAATTTCCATATGAATTTATTAAAACATTGTTATGATACCACGTGATATTCAGCTTGGATCGTTGCGTCATTGGATGATCTCACCCTAATACCAATACTAACAAATCTGTTTCACGGAAAAATTTCTTTTTGGAAATTATGTATTAGGTTTATTTTTAATAAATTGATGCTCAGCAGCTCTATAATTATGTAATTTCTTTTATTCTTCCATATAGTGATGCATGATTTCTAAATTTGGGAATAAATATTCGTGTTACATTCTGATTATAGCCATAAAGTTACCAATTTAGGTAGTAAACGGCTTAGCCGGCTAAGGATTTTTAAACGGCCAACATCACTGCTTTTATCCCAGAATTTCATGATCTTAATTCAGCCCAAATTCTTTAAATTTAACCAAAATAAATTTAAACAATAGATTCGATCTTCTCTTGATTGTCTAAAATAAGGTAGCCTACATATTTGGAATTTTGACACTTCTCTTTGGAATCAACGAATTTTATTTTTACAACTTCTTTTTTTATCAGAAAAGAGGGCTATTATAAAAAAAAAAAATCTTCCCATTCCTTTTCATTCATATATATTATATTACTAATGTATTATATGATTTAAAATTTTTTTTTTTTTTTAAAAAAACCTTTAAAATCAATCTTTGCACACTTTTTTTTAATTCCAAGAAAAAAATTTTTTTTTAGAATAAAAAAAATAAAAAATAAAACTTTAAAAATCAAATGAAAAATAAGCGAAACTATTTATTTGATCAACCAACCTGTGTGGTAAAAAACATTCTTTTAGATCCATCACTTTCCATTATAGATCGATGTAATATTTCTCAAACATGTAGAACTTTACACAATTTCACTTCAACTTTGTATTCAGCATTTGACTTTCCACTTTCTCCAAATAAAATAACTTCTTTAGCTCAAAAAAGACAATCTATAGTAACTGCGGATAATTTTCAAAGCGTTCCTACAATTTTGGTTCGTTCTGGAGTTTACAATATTGCAATTGGGTTTAGTAATGGTGATGATTATTCCGCCATATTTTTTAATAAAAAATGTATTGTCAGAGTTGTCAAGGTTAAACATCCTAAATCATCATCCTCAAAAAGTACTGTACAAATAGAATGCCTATATTCCATTTTGGTTCAACGAATCCTGTTTACTTGTTTTAGATTTAAAGACAGAATATTACAAATCGAATCTCCTAAAGGCAAAGATTACTTTGCTCATACATCAACTTTAAATGATATATTGGAAAAGTATGGATTGATCGCAATTCGTAGAAATTATGGTATCGTTTCAACAAAAAATGATGATATCAAAGACAATGATAACATTAATATTAAACATAATAATTTAATTAATAATAACATCAACAATAACATTATGAATAACAACAACACCACCATCAACATTAATATTAACAATAATGATTATAACGATTATTATACTTCTGAGTCAATATGGAATAGTTCAAAGACTAGGCGCGAACTTATTTCAAAAGGTGTTGTTAGTATGATTCGAAGGTTTCGTCAAAGAGATCAAGCCAGCACAAAGGAACCACAAAAGATTTCAAGTTCTGGAAATCAAAGATGGTTTATCAAGGTATTGACGCAATTTCATTATAGGTATTTGATTTGCCAACAAAAACTTTATGTCTATGGCACTTCACTAAAAAATAGACATCAGGAAATTATAAATTTTTTAGATATTGAATTTAAAAATTCTCTAAAAAAAACTTATCAATCTTATTGGTCTATTATTAATAATAAAAAATCCCCTCAATGTTTAGCGACTAAATTATCTAATAGTCTTGGATCATCCTCAAATTTCAGTATTAATAATGATGATGGCTATGATGGAAATTTTGAAAAGTTTATAACAATGACAGAGATGGAACAACAATTAGCACAATTAAATGAGCGACACTTGTTCCTTGGTACTCTTATGGAAAGATTTAAATCAGTCATTTTAGAAAATCAAAGTTTAGACTCATGTTTTATGGTGTTTAGAAATTATAATCTACAGACTTTATATGAAAGTTTGCGTACAAACTTGACAAAAGTTTTACATAAATATGATAAAGTTGTTGTAGTGATAGATGAATTATCAACAAAATTTCAAAATCTTCTTAAACAATTATATGAACAAGATATGCGTAATAAATATGCTATTCTAAACAAAGAATTGTCCAGTCAGGGTATATCTGTTCAACTTGATGATAAGATAATTCCTGATACTTTTAAAACAACATTTTCATCGTCATCATTATCATCGAATTCCAATAGCGTCTCACCACCTCCTTCATCATCACTATCATGTCTTGCTCCACTCCCTGCTTCTTATTTATCTTCTACCACTAAACAAGTTTCATATAAGGTTAATTGTTCATTAGTGCCTTTATTATCTACATATAATAATATTACCACATCATTATCAGCATTATCAGCGTCATCAGCGTCATCATCATCATCACCATCAACCGTATTGTATTCTAATTCATCAAAAATCAAAGATTCAAATATTTCTACTACAACTATTTCATCTTTAACAAATAAATTATCATCATCATCATCAACATCATCATCATTGTATTTATCATCACCATCATCAGCTGCATTGACATCTCAACAACATCATTATCATCACCATCATCAAGACTATTATGATATAAGTGCAGAAGGAATATTGGAAGCTTTGCTTGTACAAGTTCCATACGAAAATATATTTTCACGTAAAATGACTATTAAAAACATGGCACAAAGACATTTTGAAACAATGTGCTCAGAGTATGGAGATCACACTGCCAGAATTGATTATGATGATTATTGTTCAAGTTCTAATGAAGATTTATCAGAAGATAATTATACCAACAGCCGTGGTAATGGAAATGGATCATATAATTGTTATAATAATAAAAGTTATTTTTATGACATTAAAACAGGCCAACACGTTAGTCAAGATTATGCAAAACAATTTTTCATAGATTGGTTTGAACAAAATTGTGTGAAATTTTGCAATAGGTTGTTGGAAGCTGGTGATTGGTTGAATGCCATATGCTATATGTTGTTTATGGCAAAATTACTGTTGAAAGATGAATGTCATTGGGTGGAACAGTATGATGAATCGGAAGGTGTTTTCACCAACACCATTACTGAATGGCGATTTGAGATTGTTGAGAGGATTGAGAATGAGTTGAAAAAGTTGACCAAGGATGTTGTTGGTCCTTCGTTGAAGAAGGGTGAGTGTATAAATGGGGATGATATGAATAGAATTTGGAAAACTTGGTGGTTGTATGCTTGTTCAGAGGTTTTGGATGGGTTGGAAACAATTGATGTAAAAAGCAGTCTAGAAAAAATGGAAGAATATCTTGGCATCAATAATAACAATGGGAACTATAATAATAATAATGATAATGGGTGTAATAATAATGAGAATAATTGTAGTAATAATAATGGCATCAAACAAAATTTAAAAGGAAAAGAAAAAGAAACAATTATGTAGTTTATATTTAGAAATTTATAAAAAATAGAAACACATTTATTTAATTATTATTTTTTGTGAAAATAGACAATTTAAAACAATTTAAAACAATTTAAAATTATTTAGAAAAAATTTAATATTTTTCATCTCTCTAATATCTCTAATATTTTCTGTTACATTCATTCATTAATACTGATTGCTAATTACTAGCTGCAATAGCTGTGAAATCTTTATCATTTTTTTTGCGGCTTCAAAAACTTTTTTAATTAATAATATATTAATATATAATGTAAATAATAATAATCATTGTTAAAAAAAAAAAAAAAAAACAAAAATAAAAGTAATTAATATAATTTTTTATAATATACGAGCAACAAAGTGAAACGATAATAATCGTTTCACTTTCTTCAATGCTCGATCCAAAAATATAAATTTGGTAAGGATTAATGTCGGGCTTGTTTTCATTATTATTATATTAATCTTAACAATATCCAGTTGATAAACCCAATCTCGTTTCAGATTTGCGCTTTTCAACCCTCTCCAGATTTTTAAGTAGTTCCTCCAAGATTTCTTAGCTCACTAATTGTCTGGTGATAATCCCTAAAAAATTGATGGTTATTACTAGAATTTAGCAATGTGCCATATTTTTTACTTTGTCATAGAAAGTTTTAGCTGATTCATTGCCTTGGTCGAGGTTACCAAATTTACTTTACGCTTTTCTTTCTAGTACTGTAGAATAGTAAGCGTGTGAGTATTTGAATACACTAAATTCTTAAACCTATATATTTTGCGAGTTTTTTTTTTCCAAGTGTTTTTGGTAATGAACCGAAAAAAACGGATGGTTTGATTTTTTTTAAAACAGATATATAGATCATGGTCAATAAAACTCATTATTTAATACGGTTCGTGTGGTTTTGATTCTCATTTCTGCGCCACGCGTCCAAGTTTTCAAAAATGACGGATTTCAAAAATCTTGTAATTTGTTCAAGAAATTTAAGGGTATTCCCAAAAATCGTACTTTACGTGATTTTTGTGTAATTAAATGCAATAATAATTCAATTGAAACAAGTTGGGTAGTGATGATTTTTGTGTATAAGGTTTTTTACTAAGGTTCGGTTTTAATTCAAGAGAAAAGTTTTGAAGCTTGAGTCATTAATATTAATATGAATATAGTAAAGGGATTCCAAATTATAATCGATTAATTGTTTAGCTTCAAAATACTAAACAAAAAATTTTTACATTGTTTTTAAAAAAAGTTTAATTGATAAGTTTTATTTATTGTTCATGACTCAAGCTTCAAAAACGTATAACTAGATTTTTCTTAAACTCGAACTTCTTTAAAGAAATTACCAAAGTTGGTCGTATAGTTAAAAATATGGTAACACAAAAATTATTATTGCAATTACTGAATTAAAAATTAAAAAAAGTTGTATGAAAATGAATTGACTTCGTGGCAGTGTTCGGAATTCGACTGCGCCTTAACATAAAGCTAGTCTGATTTTAGAAAATGTCTGCAGTTAATTTTCAGGTTTGGTTATATTAGCGCGCAACAAAACATTTTGCCTTTTTTTTATAACCACATGACTTTGTGTGCAAGCTATTTTTTTTGCTGATCATTTCGGGTAATTGTAAGCTTAATATTAAACAAATAATCAAATTTGAACGGCCTTATTGTTGATTAAATTGGTATTTAATTGTCGTTACGCAGTCATGAATTGTTCTTATGACCAAGTAATAAATATTTACTAATGGATATTTTTTGCCATCTTCTACAAAGAATGTCCTTTGATAAACACAATACTTGGCAGAAGTGATACAAATTGTACTTATAAAGATAATCGTTATCTTCTACTTAGCTTTGTATTTCACTTTTCGTGAGACTTCAAGAACTATATGACTTTCTTTTAAATAATAATTTCTTGTAATAAGCTATTGTATAAATAAAATCGCTATAATAAAACCATCGGTTAATTCTTTGCAGATTTCGGGACTGTGTTATAATTATTTCGCTGAAATCCGCCATTGCAGCGACAAATATTTGTGGCTAAAAAAAAAATAAAGGTTTCTTTTATAAAAAAATTATTTTTTTACAAATTATGCAAATTATAAAAAATAATAAAGAATTACAATAAATTTTTGAAGATGGAAAACGCTCATAATGATGATAAAATATTCAAAGAAAAGATATAATACCAATCTAATATGGCGTAATCAAAAGCTACCAATTGATGGTAGCATTGCAACTATCTACAGAGCTTAAGCTTCCAGACGAACAATGACATTCGAATCGAATACGAATACATATCAATTAATCAAATGTAAAATTTATGCTTACACTATTTATTAAAACCGTTCTAAATTATATTATCAATTAATTATCAAATGTCTGAGGTTTTTAAATAATGATTTTTTTCAATTATAATACTTATGCATTTGGAAGAGACTTCAATCTTTCTTTATACATAATTAATTTTTATAACACGTGGATTCGTTATAATGCGCTTTTTTACAAGCACCATAGGCCTATTTATGTTTATCATATCACTAAGCAATAGTTGTAGTAGTTGTAGTACCAGATATCAAATCAGGACCTGATTTATAAAAGAAGTAAACGATTAGCTTTGATGTTCATAGATTTTATTGATAAAACCTTTCTTTCGAAAGATCAAACTTTATTGCCTCTCCAATCAATTTTGGAATAACGGTCAAATATACAAAGAGTCTGCGAAAATAGTATACATGTATAAATTAACTCTAGCTAGATGACTTGGTCCTGTTTAACCATTCATCTTTGTCTAGAAAATTCATAAGCGTGAGTTTAATCAAGTTATTTCCAATTTCAACAAACATAATAAGATTTAAAATTTATTAACAACTAATTGTTCTGGTTTTTAGTCTTGTTGGAAACTATATTAGTTCAATGGTATTTTTTATTTGATTTGGTGTTTTTCTACTCACCTGGATAAAAACAAGTTTTTTAATAGAATTTTTATAAATAAACAAATGTGATTTCTAAGCCAAAAATGTTCCGAAACTTACGTATTGACTCCTCATATGGAAAAAAAAGTGTAGACGCAAATTAATTACGTAATACTTTGATAGCAAAAACAACTCATTACGCAATACACAAATTCTCAGCCTTGGTATTTTATATAAATAAGGTGTTTTTAGTACCTTTCCCCATCTAGTTAAACAAGCCTTTGCTTGCAACTAAAACATTATTTGAATAAGGCTTGATTGGAAAACTTTAATATGTTTTATGTTTACGTGTTGGAGTGTGCTGATAACAAGTATTATGTTGGTGAAACTATGGATATCGATAGGAGATGGGAAATGCATGAGAGTGGAAGGGGCTCAGAGTGGACAAGGATATATGAACCAATCAGGATTGAATGGTATGGCCGTACTAATAATAGATATTTAGAGTTTGCAAAAACTCTTGAATATATGGAAACATATGGTATTGATAATGTAAGAGGTGGTCCTTACTGTAGTGTATTTTTGAGAGAATGGACTATGGAGTTTATTTACAATAGATTATCTGATACATGTTTTGACTGTGGTAGGAGAATTAGGAATGGTCATTATAATGGCTGCCCAAATTGTCATGATTGTGGCCGCAGACATTATGGTTGTTGTTGTTACCTATGCGGCAAACCTGGTCATTTGAGTGGCGAATGTCGTAATTGTTCTAGATGCGGTGGAAATGATCATTTTACTGATGAGTGTAATCAATGTTACAAATGTCGTAGTCGCAATCATTTTGGTAATCGATGTGGAAGTTGTTTAAATTGTGGTGGATACGGTCATCGAGCTAATAATTGTTATTTACCTTATTCCTAATGTCAACGCAGAGTATGTAATAATGCATTCTCTTAATTTTTAAATTCAGAACAATTAATATATATATATTTGGTCCAATATTAATTACGCTATGCGTCTTTTTTTCCTATATAATTTTTTATTCGTATAACGATAATAACGGACTGAATCGATCACATCAATCTTACTACTCTGCAGCTGGATGAATGATGGTATTTTCAATTGGATCAAAAATAATATTCATAGTTATGAAGGAAAACGCGTCAACGTTTTATCATTATCACTGATCATGAGTGAGCGAGCGTGTAGAAAACAGAATCTCATTAACAATATCAAAATAATGTAATTTAATCTACTACACAAATAAAATTTAATATTAAATTACCAAATGATTAATGATTTTAAAACATTATGGATGATTTGATAAATAAATAAATAATAATTGATTTTATGCAAATTCGCCGTATATTAAAAAATCTATTTTTTAATATGGAAAAACCTAAAAGGACACTTTTATCATATTGAAAATAATAAAAATAATAGGTTGCTGGTCGAAGAATGATCCGGATCTAATCTTCTCTTCTAATAAAAAAATCACGGGCTAGAATTAGGCAAATAAATGACATAATAAGGTAAAAGAGAGTAATATAGGACACTACTGCTGTAGGTGGATCGTATTCTTTTGAATATGTTTAAAAATAGAGTTTGATTGTATCGTTTTCAGCAATAAATTCAGAAATAATTCACAATTACAAATGAAAAGAAGGCCGAATAAAACAAGAGGTTAAAGAAGAAATAAACAGCTATAAAGCAAGAATAGCCAACAAAGATCATTTTTAATGAAAAATATTGTCTCCATGAGTGATTTTACTTAAAAATAAGACATGTTTTCTACGAACAGGCACTTTAATTATTGTAAAAATACAAGTTGCTATTTTATTTATTTATTTTATTATCCTAAAATGATATAAAAAAATACATATTGGATATTGTGAGGACGAAAATCGTTAGGTCACAAGGAATCAATAAGATTGGCCGAACTTTCTACGTTTTAATTCTTTTTTATTAAGTGAAAAAACACCAGGTTAATTAATTAATATTTCAAAGCCTTGCTAATAAGTAAAGACAGAAATATTTATTTCTTGTCATTAATTTAATTCACTTTTAAAAATTATAAATAAATAAATAAATAAATAAATTCTTTTGTTTTGCTTATAAAAACACTTTTTAAATTAAACAGTAGGGTATAATTGTCCATTTGGTTATCAGAGTGGTATAGAACCTTGAGGTTTGGTTTATTTGCTTTGGTATAAAGTCAAGTCTTTGACATCGGTTAACCAGTGTAGTGTTAACAACGGGTTGTATAGAAAATCTTCAGTTTCTTTGATTTCAAATGGCGTCTATTCTGTACGAGTCACTTCAGTTACAATTTTTTTTATAATTATAGAATTTATTCCGTTATAATGATACTCGTTATAACAACATGTCAGTATAATGGGAGAACCAACAATCAAAATCATTCTGAAAAAAAATTTATGCCGGGATAAATTCTGGAAACACTTCCATATAATGCTGGTTAATTTTGACTCCGACATAAGTTGATATAGTTGGCTTGGTATAAAGACCTCCTAAATTTTGTGCAAATTTTAAAAGTATAAAAGTCATTTTCTGTTCTGCCTTTTAAAAAAATAACCTTACTATGTTCGTTCACAAGGAATTTAGCGCTAGAATTATTTCTAAATTTAGACTAATTTTCGGACATCACATCTAAATTTGGCAGCAAGAAAAATAATTTTAAACCAAGACCTTCTTTGAAAATTTTTAAAAGTTTTTGAACGAATCACGGAATCGATATTTTTTGAAATTTGAGCTAGTGGCGCAGCAATATGGTTTCTTTAGACCGAGCTAATCATATATA